TAAACGAGACGCTTGAAGCTTCTAGTCTACATAGTTAGAAAGCTCAAAGTGATTTAGACAATTTATGAGTATATTTCCTGATTTTATGAATTCAGGTATTCCTAAACCAGATAGGAAATGTGATAAAACGCTCAACTGAATTGCTTACTCGAGTCTAGACTTTGTCCAAGGACCTGTTGTCGGAGCCTGGCGGCAGCAAAGCGGGCCAATGGATCAGAGGAACTACCGCCCAGCACAGAAGGCTCTTCCGAGTCAGCTGTCTCGGTGGTGGGTGCAGAGGTAGTGACTACAGTTAGCGCTCCGGTTTGCTCCTGCACAAGAGGTACTGTCTCGTCAAACTCATCAAGTTCGGCCTGAATATGATTGAGGGGAAAAAATGGTCTAGAATTACAAGAGGTAGATAGTAGTTATATGTAAGACAATGACTAACTTTCAAATAATCTTTTGCTAATTGATATTAATATTAGTTTAATTCCAAGTGAAGGTGTGTAATAATGAGGTTGGAAGGCCAATTTCGCTGGGTCTCTATAATTTGCCATCATTCTATTTTTCTGCAATGTCAAGGGTGATGCAGTCCTCGAGGCACCCTTTTAAAAACTCAATAAAGAGAACATCGTTTGGTTCCAATGGAATGTTCAGCTGGGTATAGTCCTCAATGCACATATGCTTTCACTCGAAATTGAAGTCAAAATTGAAATACCGAAAGATTCCTATAAGTCAAATTTCCATTCGTATATGATTAGTATGTGACACAATTACTTATATTCCTCCATTTGGCCACTCGAAAAATAAGTAAACTATTTCATTGCAAGGTAAACGTGTACAATTTTTTTAAATTTTTACTTCATGTGACGTAATGTCTAATTGTTATTTTTTCGTTGAAAAAAAGATTTATTTAATTTCAAACATGGAGAATTTGATCGAAAAATTTGATTAGCAATAGTCAATTCCAAAGAGATTTTATATAATAAGAGGATATGAAAGACAATTTATTAGGTGGTATTGATAAATAAATTCAGGAGATTGAAATAAGGTTGGAACTTTGACTAATTTTAAATGAATTAAGATCAATAATTGTAAGTAAAAACGATAGCGTAGCAATCCAGGTAAAGGTATAGCATTAAAAATTAATGTTTTATTCCGTTTAGGCCTAACCTACGCTATTATAAATGAAAAGAATACTTCCATATAAATATTGTCTGAGCTAACTAATGAGGAGCTATAAAATGACAAAGAATAAAATGAGATTCTTTGATTTGAACAAGTAATTACAACAAGCAGGAAGAACGAATCAAATAAATATAATCGATGTATAATTTTGGAATATTCGATGAATAATAAACCTTGAAAATAGATAAAAGTATAGCATTTGTCGTCATAGCTAAATTAAGCTTAGAAAAAAGATGCAGGCTCAGAATATTTAACGCTTAAGTCAAGTATCTCACCGAGAGCCACAAAACAAAGTTTAAAAAGGCCCCTAAGAATTGTGATAAAAGAAGAATAATTCACTTCCTCAAAGAGATTCTATGCAACCAAATGCTTAAGATATATAGGAAAACAATTAAGATTAATTTTCAGAAGTAAAAGTAGCATAATGCATAAAATCGCATGTTTCTTAACAGACAAAGGACAAATTATGAAAAAAATCCATATCTGCCCTGTGACGCAAGGGCACTCGTGGGAATGTGGCGGAGTGATTAACGTGTGGAGCTTACACGCTGCACTGTTATGGTTCGACTCCTTCTGGGGGTGATGATAAGACTTAGGTAAGGGCGAAACTGCAGTCTACCCTGGATGAGAGCAACTTTTGGGAAAGCAAGACTATGTGAAATTCAAATATATATATGTACTAAGGGATTCTTCGAAACCCAGATTCTCTTCATGTTTATATATCCGCTATAAATCTTAAATTATCGAATTAAAAAAAAGACTAGGTAATACTTTAGATTTAATGGTTTATTTAAGAATCACGCCTCTACTTTAGTCGCGATCTCATTTTGCTGTACTGAGGCGATTCAATCCTGATTCCTCAACTTGCTCGTGTATTTACGGAGAACTGTGACTGAATCGTACTATGAGTCCTGTGTCACAATATAAATGATAATTTACAGCATTTTAAAGACGAATAGTAACTGGGTTACGATAAATCTCATGAGGTTTGTTAGTCAGGCTTTCATTTCGTATGAAGGTTCATGAACAAGAGATTCGAAGATCGATCTCATCAGAAGATGATGACTGATTCCCGTTGTACCTACAGCCGGTCGGCTCTAATACGACCTTCATGTTGATGTAGTCCACAAGACATACTCCCTCGTTTCGAGTAAAAGCGTGTGTACTCTCGTTCACTATCATCGGACATCAAAATTTGAACTCAATCTAACGTCAACACTAGGTCAAGAAGACTGTCCGGCTCTATCTTACCTCATATATAGACTCAATTATGCAAAAGAAAGTTAAAAGGCATAGATAGATGTAGAATGATTTGGCTAATTATCTTTCATATTGATCCGTTTTCACCCAAAACAAGGGAGGATGCCTCGGGGACTGTGTCAGGCTGAACGTCGTATTAAACCCGAACGGCTGCAGTACAAGATAATTAGCACGCGTCTCCTGGTGAGATCGACTTTCGAATCTCTTCTTCATACGAAATGAAAGTCTGTCCAATAATTTCCAACATCAGTTTGTGGAATTTAAACATTCCCAGATGTTTTATCGGCATTTCAGACGGCGTTGTAATTAGTATACATAGGTTTTACATCAAAACTTGCAGGTAATTCTATTCCTTCTAGTCATTTGTTTTAGGCCTTTAAGGAAATTCATATAAATTCCCCATTATATTTCATTGCATCATTTAACTTCGTTAGCTTCAAGTATGTAAATACCACCAGTTTGTGTGCTGCTACATATTTTTTGTTAATCAGTAAGTTGCTGATGATCTTGCAGCATTATATATTAAGGAATTCATCGTCTATGTGTCGATTTCCTTCTTCGTATGCATCTCTTATCCTATAGTGCCTCATTTATCTGCATAGTTGGGTATTGTTTTAGTACACGATATGTGGTTTTGTCTCCTAGTATACTTTCCATCTTTGCATATAGTTCAACTCTAATTCGCCCGAAGGAGACTATATGACTGTTCTATGTGGAAAAGCCAGTTTTCAACGGATCCCTTAATAAAATGGTATTGGAGTACCTTTGATTTCCGTCGAAGAGGCGAATAGAATGGATTCGTAATTTGGCCTCATCAAAAGCTGTAGGTGGTTTTATTTGGAGCTGCGATTGTAGATTTGTGCGAATAGGTCCTCGATGCACCGCCATGTGGCCCCAAAAAATCATTGCTGATCTTTCATCCGTCATGTGACGGACATCGTCAGAGCAGGACAGCATGCTTTACGATAATTCATCAAGCACAAAGACATGAAAAGTGGTAGGCGGCAATTCTACATGCTCTGTATAGCCTGTCTGCGCCCACTTAGAGACATTTCATGGTTTGGATTGCTATCCTATGCTTTTAGCACATCCTTGTTGAAAAGTGAATTGGTTGCGGGTGGCATGTGAACTAGCTGCAGATGAAGCGTGAAGTGGATTGAATTGTGACCGAACAGCTGCATTCTCCCCTAAAACACGCATCCCTTTGATCCTGTAATGTTGACGCATGTGGTTGCGTTCCATTGTCGTGTGCTATACAAATACATTGCTCTTGAAATAAATGTTATGTGGGAGTCAAAACCAGATCCCAGGCTAATCAAGCCTCCTCCCCATGCTCAGCGATACTTCTGGTTCCCCCCCATCTCTCTCTGATCCTCTTCAACAGCCATAAGTAGTTCCCATTCAACTTACTACACTCATTCCTTCTATTCAGGGTTTTGGCTGTTTTGTTTATTTCTATCGCCTCTAATCTTTCGCTTACTGGCTGGTATAGTCCTCATATCCAGCTAAGCGTTTGGCATTAGACTAATCTATTTGGTATCCTGTGCGAGCCATGTTAGGCCAATTCCGATTTTTGGACCCACAAGCCTTGGCAAGCTGTTTTATGCTCAGACAAACTATTATGTATCTGTCGACTTCTCTTCCCCATAAACGCTACCACATGAACACAAAATCTTACAACAGCCCGATTTTGTTATTCCTTTGTAACTTTCTGTATGGTATCTTTGATGCGTTACCGAGTATAGGCTCTTAATGCGCCAAGCTTTTCTGGACTATTTTCCTTCCTATTCACCGTGTAGTCCCTTATAAGAGATTTAAAACCTCCAAAGTGAAAATTGTAAATTTTTTCTTTCATTATTGAGGGAGAAATTTGATCCTTTCTCCAGGATCAGCGTGGTTTTGAAATTAAGAAGTATTGAAGATAAATTCACTATTTCATCCTCATTATCATTTAGATAAGTGTGCCGTAATTATGGAAGCCTTATGATTTAGGTGAGTTGGTTGGATATTATGCTGACTTCTAATCCCATATCTAAGCAAATTCGTGAAGACTCGTAGTAATAAAATCCAAGATCCTTTATGACTTATTTTCAACCATACTCTCAAGGTGTTAAAAATCTTCCGGAGTGATAATGCTGGCTAGACCACGCCTGAGTTTATACTTAATGGTTATGAAGTTAAATAGCTTACTTCTCCCATAATAACAGGTTTCATCACATTTTAGGGGTATGACAAAGAATGTCATTAATGCTACCTGACTGGCAATCCCTTAAACGTTTACAGAAACCAGGAGCGATACAATAAAGTATTAGACAGCTTAAGTGGTAGAATGGCATTATTGACTTTTAATTGTCCTCTGTCGGTCTGTAATCAGTGCATAGTTCGGCATCGTTATTTCTTAGTTTACGTTTGATTAATAAAGGAGGTTAAGCCACCTTGAAAAAGGCGACTCAACTAATATCCAAAACTTTAATTTAAATTATTCACACTTTATAAACTTGTTTAGAAGGCTAATATACTCAAACAAATAAGTGTTTGTTATCGTAATGATTGATCTTCAATGGTTAAAAAATAAAAGGTCATTAAACGTTGAAGACTTTAAAAAGGATATGATCTGGAAGTTTGGAATCA